GGATTAAGCTATAGTATAAACAAGACACTGGTAGCCAATAGTTTTGGTGGATTTCAATGTCTCGTCTAGATTTAGACTGAGCTGGGTTGGAGAATAGTAGTTAAATGCCAGAAGCTTCCAGCATCTTGTTTATAGTACATCTCCAAGGGTGGTGGGAATTTCAGAAGAAAATTTAGAGGATCCTTTTTATTTGCCTTCTGCTTTTGTTTGTTTTTTGAGGTTGCAGAATTCACATTTTCAAGCTTTTCTCCACAATCATGGCAGCTAGAAACTTGTTACTTTTAAAGCTGAGATTCTGATGTATTCACATGACTCCAGGAGCTGGGTCATTAACAAAAACACCACATATCATGAGACTTTTCTCCTCCCACCCTCTATCTGTTCTGTCCTATTTTGACTGTAAGCAGTTTGGGACACAGACCAGCTCTCACTAGGTGTTTGTACAACTACTAGTAAAAAGGGGTCCCAATCTCAGCTCGGCCTCCAGGAAAGACCATAATACAAATAATAAACATATTGTAAGTTAGACACAGACTACTGTATCGCATGTACTCATTTCCTTCCCAAAAAGGAAATAATCTATTCTTTGAGTCCAAATCTTACCAAGCATTTGAATTTCATAACACTGCATTTAAGTCAACTATTCCATTAATATTATTATTTTATTTCTTAACAAAATGGAGAAAGTTCCTGATACTATTGCAAAAATACAGCCATTTGTAGCTTTGTTGTAACTGTCCAGAATCCTTTCTTAGCCCATTTATACAGAAGGGGAAGGAAAATTCTGTACTGGTAAACAAGAAAGAACCTGCTAGTATTAAATTTTATATGGTAGATTAACAACACTGGTACTAATGTATTAAACTTGCACTTGAGCCAACTAAATTAATCCATCTTTCTGTTAATATAAGGAACTAAGAGTCACAGGAGTTAATTAGCCCACACTCCACTACGCCTCAGCTCTGACCTACGTTGAGCACATTTACAAGAGGGAGAGGAGCCCACTCCCCTACTACTCGCAATTTCCACGTCCATTTGCTGAGACTGCAAACATAAGAGCTAATTATGGTACTGGTTGCTATAACTTGGACAATATTCCGAAAGGAAGTCAATTAAGACTCCTTCTGCATATATTAGGCCACTAAACAGCAGGGGATGCTAATGCCTTTTGATGACCTAGGGGTAAGCAGCACCATGTCTCATTATCAATCCCATTAGTTATCCAATCCTACAAACACCTTATTTTTTTGACTTCTTTGCAAAAACAGTGCTTGTGAAATGGTACATTTATTAGTAGAAATTGCTGTTTTCTTTGTGTACTGTAGCTAGTAAGAGTCTGACATATGTGAATTCCAGCCACTGCTCTCTTTCTTGTTTATTATCTATAAGTGTATCAAACAAACCCTGAATGAAATCCCTTCGTAGTATGTGTTATCTGTCCAATAAATATTCACATTGAGCATTTTATTCCTGGATTGCCACCAGACTGCAGCATCTTGCCTCTCTACTCTACATCATGGATTCTACTGAGAACAATTTGGCAGAAGAAACTGACAAACGCTATGGTCAGCATATTGATCTGTCCAGCATTTTTACATTCACTGATGTATTCATTTGTGTAGAGAAATGATGATTATTTCTTCTTGTCACAGAACTGAAGTGCTGCTCCCTAAACTGCCTTCATCGCCTCATTTGAGATGATTAAATTGCACCTTGAGCTGTGCACTATGAAAGAAGTAATAAAGAAGCAAAACAATACAAGCAACTTGACTACAAAGTCAAGATGTTACCTAGAGAGAAAAGTGGGCCTTTGTGTGGAAAACAAAGCAAAGCAAAAGTAGTAAGATCAGAAGGAAAAAAAGCATGAACACAGACAGGTAAAAGGATATAAAGCCATTTTGGATTAAATTCACCCACTCTCTGTAAATCTCAGCATAAGTGGACTGTGTAGGGTATAGAATATACCCCATAGGCTGAAATAGCAAATGCTGTCCCTTTGTCACCCCATGTGCTGGGATTTCTGGTTAGATTAGATTTATGTTAGCTCTGGCCTACTCCTAAATACACCCTTTGTGCTGGTTTATTTTAGATTGGTGTAATACGCTTTACTTGGGGCTACACCCTGAGATCACTCTGAAACTGAAGCTAGTGCTAGTGCTGAGAAGAATTTCATGCTGAAAGAACATTACACCTATCCTCTGGGAGGAATTCAAGGTGTTGGCGTTTGCCATTAAAGGACTAAATGGTTTCAGATCTGGTTACCTGAAATGATGCTTCTCTCTGCGCTATACTGTCACAGCTTCGTTATGTGAAGATGCTCAGTCTAGACAACCTCTTTGCTATAAGAAGCAGGATGTTGCTGGCGGGGCATTCCCCAGCTTTGCAACTCAGTCCCTTACTCCAGTTCACCAAAGTCTGGATTTATTAGTCTTCCAAGAGTGCTACAGATCCCATCTATTTTCCCAAGCATTAGAGGAAAAGATGTGTGGAGGGCTGAAGAGTTTGGGTTTATTTTATTATCCTTGTTATAGTTGCTGGTGATACTTACTGTCAAGTTCTTTTGGTTTTTGCACTATATAATTCTAACTTATGGGCTTCATACTCAGAGCATGGGGTGGGCCCAGACAAAGCATTTTATAAAGATAAATACATATTTATTTGAAGGTAGCATGGAGGCTAACTGACCTCCACACTGTAGAGGAATCTCTGCTCTATCTGCACCCTCTAGACTACACCCTCTAGACTATCATGGGACTCCCATAGTGTAGAAGAACTTCAGCAGGCCCTCTATGGGTGAATTGCACCTTTAGTAAACACATGCTTGAATGTAGAATAGGCTCTCCATAGTGATTTCATATGAAGATAGCAGATCATCCTTTTCCAGTCACCAAATGCAATAAGAAAATGGCTGCTAGCAGTAAAGTCAAAGAAGGGCAAATCAACAAAATCAAAATGCCAAAGAAGGAAATCATCATGGGCGAGAATCTTATCTCAGTTACATCACGGTAAGTCTCAAGTAACTCTATTGACTTCAGTGGAGTGATTCTCAACCTATGAGATCAGAATATAACCCAATGTGATTTTAGCTATTTTGGGCTTTTCTTTTTAACTTGCTCCCTAAGCAGATCAATATTGCAATGAATAAGAAGAGATTATGGGTAAATGAACTTGCATATTATAAATAATTATTTATCAAAGTGGTCAAACTCCACTGCCTGGCCATTGGACTCAGTGCAATACAAAATTGCTTACCAACAGATACTGTTGTGTACACAACCTATAATATCTTTGACAACTAAGGGAACCTATAGCAACTCCAGGAAGGAGTTTAAGTTGTGGGGGCCTTTCTACTGCCCCTTCCCAGCATAATAACTAAATAAACAGGCAAAATTCTATGTTCTCTTTTCAGTTTTCACTCAGTCCTTATTTCAGGCAAATTTAAAATGGATTTAAGTGTTTTATTCATTGGGACAAATTCAGTAGATAGCACATTTATAGCATGTGTTTCCAAATGCTTTACCAACAGTAACTATCTATTCCTTCTTTTATGAATGATCTGAATATACCATACGAAGAATAGTTTCTTCTTCAACTCTAGAAATGTGAGGCCATGCTAATTACTAATTTAAGGCAGTTGTCTATCTGCGTATGTCTCCTTCACTACAATCCTAACTACTGGCCAATTATTCTAATTCTCCTATTGTATGCACAGAACACGCTTTCCGCTTCTCCCACACTCTATTCCACATGCAGGTCAGTTCCACATTGATTTGATATTTATTGGAAAGTGTCCTAATTAAGCAATCAGCTGAAAGGCACAGAAAGCTGGTGTGTGATTCTGAGCAGAGTTTTCACTCATGTTTTAGAAAATCCCTTGATGTCTGATACACAAATATGAAACTGATTAATCTGCAAGTCTGTGAGTTTTTGCAGATATTCCGGACTGGAGCAGCCTAGAGTTGATTTTTTCATGGTAGTGATTTTCTGGTGGGAATAGCTTACAATGCCAGCAAATGGGGAAACATGGTAACCATGAATATAGCAAACTGCAAACTTAGGCAGAGATTTTGTGGCTGCCATTCTCAATCTAGCAATCATGGACCCAAGCCTGCATTGCTTGCGCATCAACACATTTGTTGTAGCTAAAAGGAGTATGAATGCAATTGAAATGCAGAAACAGGCTCCAAGTGTGCAGTTTTTAAAGTTCTGACTGATTTTAAATGCCCATTAAGAGTTCCACAGTTCACAACTATGACAAAGAAGAGAAATATATTTTCAGTGTGTGAGGCAAATCCAAGACAATAACGATCAAATATGTTAAATGCATTAAAGGTCTGATGCCCTAACCATCAAAATCTTCCAATGTCATCAGGATCTCCGTGAAATCAAACTAATTTAAAGAAAATCTAAGGAGTTTCTCTTCCTTGTTACGTAAAAGAAACAGGATTGTACAAAGACAACCAAACATGAGAGCAGAGGGACATTTTGTATTGACATGGAATTTGACAGTGGTTACGCCTTGGAACTAAGAGTTGGTGCACTCCTTTGCTAGAGTAGTGGCCAACATGCTACACGGTAAGAAGAAACACTAGAAATGACAATGAAATTATGTTGCCTGGCTGTCCCAGTCTTGGTTTTGCTAAGGTACAGAAAATCCTCTTGTACACAAATCTGAACTAAACCTTCTTGCAGTCTGTTGCAGCTAGACAACAAAGCCAGCAAACATTGTGTTTGTCTGTTTGTTGGTCCTAATTGAAACACAGTGACTATAGCATGCTTTTTTATTTTTGTGTAAAATAGGACCAATTTTAAAATAAAAGTTAAAAAAGATTGTAAAACATTCTCTCTTTTGTTTTGTGCTTTTAAATCAAGCCTTTTTAATGCAAAACACAGTTTACTTGCAGCATTCAGCCAGAAATCAAAGCACATTGTTTCATTAAAATAGCCAGCTCTGTAGGGACTGTGTGACAGAAGGAAGAAATGACAATGTAAACATGTACCTGACGCTTCTTGAGCTTTCACCTTCAGACCTGCAAAGTAACAAAAAGTAGTATTAAGAACACCACCACTTCAGCTCTTTGCATTCATAAAATAAACAGACCCTCATTTATGTTTTGCAAATGCCAGAAATACTTACTCATTTTTAATGCTTTCTCTCTTTAAGTTTCATTTTATATCTCCAGTGCTTTTATACTTTCACTACCAATTAGCAATTAAAAAAATTGGTTCTACTTAAAGTAACAAGAAATCATTTAGGAGAAATTAAAAAGAAGATAACAGTTAACAAGTCAATAATGAGGACACTTAAATGTTAGCTGTCACACTCTTGAACTTTCATAAAGACCTTTTGTAAATATGCACTATCACAGATTTATGTTCCACATTTGTAAAGTAAAAATGTCAGCCTCTGACATCCCATATTAGCAGCAGATTAGCTTTTACATTCTTTAGTCTTTTTTCAGTCTTCAGTATTAAAAGGTCATGGACAAATACATTTAGTAATCTAATCCCCAGACTTCTCAAATATTGCTCTGCTTCCCAAAGAGCTATGGACTGCAAATACAATCAACCTAAAATATGATTTTTTGAAAATGTATATATTTCTTAAATTGTGGGAAAGTGAAGGAAATATGCTCTTTTGCAGTTATTTAAAGGCTACCATCATATTTTCTCTTCCAAATGAAGAGTAATTTTATGAATCCACAATGATGCAAAACCTATTTTTCTCTCTCATGTTTGCTATTTTTAAATGTGGAGATTGAATAGGATATCATTCAAACTGACAAACTTCACTTCCCTGAAGAAAAATAGAACTGGATATAGTTTTAATATTTCATGAATGAGTGCAGAATCCAGAGCAGAATATATAAAATCATTTGTCTGATTCTGTCAAAAAATGCATTTGGTCTTAGCACTACAGAAGACCTAAAATATTTGCCTCTGTATCCTTGTGAGGTAATGATGACAAACTTACATTTTGATTAATTAATCTGTAGTAGGGCTGTCAAGCGATTAAAAAAGTAATCACAATTAATCGCACTGTTAAACAACAATAGAATACTATTTATTTAATTTTTGGATGTTTTCCACATTTTCAAATATATTGATTTCAATTATAATCACAGAATACAAAGTGTACAATACTCACTTTATATTTATTTTTATTACAAATATTTACACAGTAAAAAACAAAAGAGAGTATTTTTCAATTCACCTAATACAAGTACTGTAGTGCAATCTCTTTATCATGAAAGCTGAACTTACAAATGTAGAATTTTGTACAAAAAATAACTGCATTAAAAATAAAACAATATAAAACTTTAGAGCCTACAAGTTCACTCAATCCTATTTCTTGTTCAGCCAATTGCTCAGACAAAAAAGTTTGTTTATATTTAAGGGAGATAATGCTGCCTGCTTTTTGTTCACAAAGTAACCTGAAAGTGAGAACGGGCGTTCACATGGCACTGTTGTAGCTGATGTCGCAAGATATTTACATGCCAGGTGCACTAAATATTCATATGTCCCTTTATGCTTCAACAACCATTCCAGAGGACTTGCGTCCATGCTGATGATGGGTTCTACTCAATAACAATCCAAAGCAGTGCAGACTGACGCATGTTCATTTTCATCATCTAAGTCAAATACCACCAGCAGAAGGTTGATTTTCTTTTTTGGTGGTTCGGGTTCTGTTGGTTTTGCTCTTTTAAGACTTCTGAAAGCATGCTCCATACCTCACCCCTCTCAGATTTTGGAAGGCCCTTCAGATTCTTAAACCTTGGGTTGAGAGCTGTAGCTATCTTTAGAAATCTCACATTGGTACCTTCTTTGAGTTTTGTCAGATCTGCAGCGAAAGTGTTCTTAAAATGAACAACGTGCTGGGTCATCTACTATAACATGAAATATATGGCAGAATGGGGGTAAAATAGAGCTGGAAACATACAATTCTCCCCTAGGGAAGGAGTTCAGTCACAAATTTAATTAACACATTATTTTTTTAACGAGCATCATCAACATGGAAGCATGTGCTCTGGAATGGTGGCCAAAACATGAAGGGGCATATAAATGTTTAGCATATCTGGCATGTAGATACCTTGCAATGCCGACAAAAGTCCCATGCGAATGCCTGTTCTCACTTTCTGGTGACATTGTAAATAACAAGAGGACAGCATTATCTCCTGTAAATGTAAACAAACTTGTTTGTCTGAGCGATTGGCTGAATGAGAAGTAGTACTGAATGGACTTGTAGGCTCTAAAGATTTGCATTGTTTTGTTTTTGAGAGCGGTTATGTAACAAAAAAAATCTACATTTCTAAGTTGCACTTTCACGATAAAGAGATTGCACTACAGTACTTGCATGAGATGAATTGAAAGTTATTGTTTCTTTTGTTTTTTTACAGTGCAAATATTTGTAATCAAAATAATAATATAAAGTGAGCAGTGTACAATTTGTATTCTGTGTTGTAATTGAAATCAATGTATTTGAAAATGTAGAAAACCATCCAAAAATATTCAATAAATTTCAACTGGTATTCTATTGTTTAACAGTGTGATTAAAACTGTGATTAATCATGATTAATTTTTTTAATCGTGATTCATTTTTTTTTAGTTAATCGCATCAGTTAACTGCGATTAATCGACAGCCCTAATCTGTAGCTGATTTTTTTTTCTGTAGCCAAAAGGGAGGAACAAAAACCATGTGCCACATCCTTTGTAAGAACCCAAATAAAATGCATGAAAGAAAACTATGACAGCTGTAACCAAACTCTACAGCTTAATTGTTTTGGAATCTTTATTTAGGCCTTTCAATTACCTATAGTAAGAGCTGTGCTGGGGATTGCACAAATGAACTATCATTGTGCCAACTTCCCATAAGCATATTAATGCAGTTCTGCACAAAAAGAGGATGTTAACTACAGAATACAGAATGAATTTTGGTTACTGCAAGTAAATCTAACAATGTCATCACCGAATTCTAGATCAAAGTCCCATGTGAAGTAGATATAACTATCATTGTGACTTTGTGCCCCATCTCAAAAAAGATGTATAGGAATTGGAAAAGGTTTGGAAAAGGGCAACTAAAATTATTAGGGGTATGGAACAGCTTCCATACGAGGAGAGATTAATAAGACTGGGACTTTTCAGCTTGGAAAAGAGACGGCTAAGGGGGATATGATAGAAGTCTATAAAATCATGCCTGCTGTGGAGAAAGTAAATAAGGAAGTGTTATTTATTCCTTCTCATAACACAAAAACTAGGGGTTGCCAAATTAAATTAATAGGCAGCAGGTTTAAATCAAACAAAAAAGTATTTTTACACAACTCACAGTCAATCTGTGGAACTCCTTGCCAGAGGATGTTATGAAGGCCAAGACTATAACAGGGTTCAAAAAAGAACTAGATAAGTTCATGGAGGATAGGTCCATCAATGGCTATTAGCTACAATGGATAGTGATGGTGTCCTTAGGCTCTGTTTGCCAGAAGCTGGGAATGGGCAACAGGGATCACTTGATGATTACCCTATTCTGTTCATTCCCTCTGGGGCACCTGGCATTGGCCACTGTCAGAAGACAGGATACTGGGCTAGATGGACCTTTGGTCAGATCCAGAATGGCCGTTCTTATGAGTAATGAATTATTGAAGAGTACATATTCTAATTATTACATGATTATAGGCAGAGTTGGTAGTAGAGCCTATAGTCCAGTTTATGTGACACATTCTATTATAAGACCCTGTTTTCAGTTGTTTATAAGTTTCACCAAACGTTAACTGTTCAAACTGAAATATTCCATGTTGGGTTTCTGCCTAAGGCTAAATTGCTTTTGGAAAGTTTCAGCTAATATGGTTCAGTTGTTTCTGAATACAAAATTAGTCGAAATAACTGTTTTCCCCACGTTAAAAAATTCTCACAACCATTTAGTTGAGAAGCTCTAGTGACTTCAAATGTTAGAACAAGGGCTTTAAATTTGGAAGGAGGATTGCTGTGCTGTCAGGGATATCCCTTGTGCCATCCCTGTGAAAATATGTCCAAATTTGGCCAAGTTATGAGGCTTTCAAATCTCAGTTGGCACACTTTCAGTAGAGACTTCTTAGACTTTGGCAGCTAAATTCTCTGAAGAGCTGCCCTGTGTATGCTTCAGGCTGGGGCTGCAGGAGAGGCAGAGGGAAAGGGGACAGAAGCCACGGTGTTCAGGGGGTGGAGAGCCACAAAAAGGCAGGAGGCAGAGCATTGGGGCGCAGGCACACGGAGGAGGAGAGAGGGTGGGGTCAGAGTGGGGGCCCAGAGGCAGAAGGGGTCTGTAGCAAGTAGAGCACACGCCTCTCCAGAATCTGGAATTGAATCCAGGAGTCCTGCATTTCTACATTTCTCTGCTGTCAGCAAATAGTTGTGAAACCCACTTTTAAACAGTGCATCTCATCCTCATCTTGAGCCTGGTCCACAGAAGATAACAGCCTTCTACTGCTACTAGTTATGCTATTAGCTCAAGGATTAGAGGTCTGTGCTATTGATCAAAAGGTCAAAACTCTGATGATGATCCAGGTTTGGGAGTGGGAGGGGTAAGGAATGGGTTGTCAATATGGTTAAAAAAATCAGAATTTCTGGTTCAGTTTTCTTTTTTCTTTTTAAACACACTTGGGAAATTGCACCCCAAATTTTATGTTAAAGGAATGTGAAGGTTGCAAATTCAAGAACTGATGTTAGGAAATTCCAGACTTAAGGTTGTCTGTGCAACTTTCCAGGGAAGGATGTTGGTTATCAAAAACTAACAAACACAAAATATTTCATGCCTCCTGTAAGCATGTGACCTTTTGGATGAAAAGAGGAATGGACTGTATCTAAAACATGGTTAGAAAAATACATAATCTCCAAGGAGAATACGAAACGTTATCCTAAAAGTGAGGGAAAGCTTTGGCTAAGAAAAAGCCAAGAGATTTTTACCACATTGGGAAACAAGTAGCTTTCAAGATTCTGTAACTAAAGTTTAGCACCTTATTGTCAGGATCTTTTTGTAGATATTGTCAGGTGTTGAAGG